GAGCGTGCTGCTGGGGTCGCGGAGGCGGAAGTAGGAGGGAGGACGAGGAGGACGAGGAGGAGGAGGAGGAGGAGGACGAGGAGGAGGAGGAGGAGGAGGACGAGGAGGAGGAGGAGGAGGAGAAGGAGGAGGAGGAGGAGGAGGAGGGGGAGGAGGAGGTGGAGGAGGAGGAGGAGGAGGAGCACGTTACCGTGCACACGCACACACAGGTTGTATACCCCGTGCCGACGCGGCCCAGTCTGGCGCACATTCCGATTCGACTCGGACTGCAGTTTCGATGCTGATTGCTCCTGCTTGGGTTCGGGGGCGATCGGGCAGCCTTAGGATTAAGTCGGGTCCGTCCCTTTACAGGAGGAATATTCAAACATACTCAAACAATAGTCAGGGATTTGTTTTGTTCGAGTATTTTTTGACAATTTTGGAGCATTGTTTGAGTATGTTCTATCGATCACTCGTCAAACATCCCTTTGTAGGGGGACTCGCCCGACTTAACCCTAGGATCGGAATAATTCGCTCTCGAGTGGTCTGGAACGCTCTCAGAGCGTTCCGGAAAGCTCTGCAGTGGCCGTGGCGCTCCGCACCATCCTCAAAACCCCGATTCGATCCGACTTCTTGTTTTGTACCGGACACCCCAGCCATTTTGACTCAAGTTTCGGCTCAGGCCAGTGCTCAGGAGGTTGGGGTGCAGGCTTGCTTGCGATCCTCCTGCCCACCCGCCTGCGCTGAGACCAGCGCCCGCTGCAATCACGCCCGCTGCCGCCGAGGCCGCGTGGCACCACCGGGCGCGCTTGCGCCGCGCGCAGGCCCGGCTCCTGCTGCACGCCTGGCACAGGCGGGCGAGCCCCGGCTTGCCTCCCGCCTGGAGGCCGCGCGGCGCCAGCTGGACGGACACCACGGCTCCCAGGCGCCTGTCATCGAGGGGATGGCGCCGTCTGGAGCCGCCAAGAAGCCTTCTTGGGGCCGCAGCAAATGCGGCTTCGCGACCAACTGGGCCTGCAGGCCCAAGTGCCACCAGTGCGGTCTTGGCGCGCCGTACAAGGTGCTCGCCAAGCTGGCCGGCGCTTGCGGCGATGACACCGCCGGCGCGACGCCGCTCAAGGCCAAGGCGAAGAAGCAAACCAAGGCTGCTGCTGTTGCTGCTCCCTCTGGCGCCAGCGGCGCCTTCAGCGAGGCGGCGAAGCTGCGCCAGCAGCTCGACGCCGCCAGCCGTAAGCACGCGCAGGACCTCCGGAAACTCACAGGCGAGCTGGCGGAGCTTCGGCAGGCCCGCGCTGCCGGCGGCGATGCGGCGGCGCCCGCAGCTGGCGGCGTGGACTTTGACGACGACAGCGGGCTGGCCAAGGCGGTCGCGTCGGCCCGCGACCGGCTCAAGAAGGCCCAAGGCATGCCACTCGAGTTGCTCGACCTGGTGGCTGGCGGCTACGAGGCGTGCATCGCGAAGCTCCAAGCCGACCTCGCTACGGCGCAGGCCGCGCGAAGGGCCGCCAACCCTCTCAGCAAGCAGCTGGAGGTGGCGGAGGCCCACAAGGCGCGCATGGCCAAGAAGCTTGCAGACGCCCATGCGGCCTTGCAGGCGCGGGAAGCTGAGCGCGCGGAGCTCGACAAGAAGAGCCAGCGGCAGCATGTGGCAGTTGCTGGGGCCGAGGCCGCAGCAGCCAAGGCCACTGAGGAGGTCGCCGCCCTGGCGGCCCAGTTAGATCTGAAAGGGCGCCCGACGTTGCGGCCGCGCTTGCCTTTGCCGAGTCGGCCGCCGTGCGGCCCCCTGCCGCCGCCCCAGCGGGCTACGTCTCCGTCGCGCACGCCGATGAGACGTAGCGCGAGCGTGAGACCCACTTTCTGAGAAACAAGTGGCGAACCTTCAAGCGCTGGTGGCGGCTCTGGCCGCCGAGGCTGCCAGTGCCACCTCGGAGGGGGCCCACAACGTGGCCGACGACCTCGCCTCCGTCGAAGACCTGGCGGGCGACGACGAGAAGTGGAACCCGGTCAGCCGCACCAGGCGGAAAGCGCTCCTCCGCGAGGAGCGCGACGCCCTGGCCGGCAAGATCCGTACGAGCTTGGGCAAGGTGTCCACCGCCTCGTCGCCCTTCGTCAAGGAAAGTTAGCCCGCGGATCTGCCGGCGCACCCAAAATGGATGCATCGGCCGGCATCGCAATTTGGAGGTTCGCATTTGCACGCCTTTCTTGCTGCGCGTCGTCCTTTTCTTCGCGGCCGTCGCCCGCATTGGCGAGGCCGCGAATCTTGGCCAAGACGTCCTGGACACCATGGGCGTGGCCGGCCAGGCCAGTCCCGAGGCCCTTGGCGCCCCCCCCCATGGTAGGATTGGGATTTCGACGCAGCCGTCGAGGATGAGTTCGCACTTTCAGAGGTCGATGCCGCTGCCAGGGCTTCTCTGGGGCCTCCTGCGCTCGAGATGCCTCCAGAGGCGGCGGTTCCCGCCGTCTTCGACGCGCCCTTTGCGCCGGGTCAGCTGGCTGTCTGGCTGGAGGCCGAGCTGGCGATGGGGCTCCAGCCGCCCACTGCAGCCCCCCCGCGCCCCCCATCCACGCCTGCTGCGCCACCGCGTGACCTGGGGGATGCTGCCGACGTGATCCTGGCGCCTGGATATGCCGGCAGTCGCCCAGTGTATTATTTTGGGCTTACCCGCGGCGCTCTCGGGCACTGTCCCCGCGACACGTGAGAGCGAAACTATTAACTTTTTGTTTCCGAGCGGTTCGCTTTCGACTTGGCTTTCTTAACTATCAACTTTTCCGGAGGAGCTTCGCTCTCGCTTTCGCTTTCCTAACAATTAATTATTATTTTCTGCGCTTCGCTCAGTCATTCCCGCCGTCGCCTGAACTTGTCCCATGCGACCGTGCCTTCACCGAATTATGAATCGCGCGCCCACTGGGATGCAAGGGTTTCCGTACCGAAGGCACGTGGTATGTATGCACGTGGGGCAACCTATGTCGTGCAATATATGAGATGCGAGCTACGTGGTGCAATCTATGTGGTGCCATCATGGTTGTGCGACACATGTGGTGCGATGTATGTGGTTCAATATATGCAGCGCAACCTATGTGGTGCAATATGCGTGGTGCGATGTATGCGCCCATATTTATGTGGCGCAACCTATGTGGCGTAAGGTTTGTCGTGGAAACTACGCGGTGCAAAACATGTGGTGCAATAGCTGCGATGCTGTCCATATGGTGCGAGCTATGTAGTGCAATCTATGTGGTGTTAGCTTGGTGCAATCTATGTTGTGCACTCTACGCGGTGCATTTCGGGTGGCGAAGAGGCAGCGACGGGGCGGCGACGGCGCGCCGCCGGACCAGCACCCACGCCCAAACGACAGGCGGCGACGAAGCGGCGACGGTGACAACATAGCCGGTAGTTACGCTCCCAGGCCCACCCCCTTAGAAAACACATGAGACACTTTGAGTGCAAACATTGTTTGGGGAACTTTGGATATGCCGGCGCATCGCGCGATTGACATAGACTGCTGGTACGTTCGCGAGCTCCAGACTCAAGTGCTCGTCGCATCCCAGGTGGTCGACCACCATTCCCTTTTGCAACGGCCCCAACAGACCGCCGACAGCATGTCGGCTTCTGTTGGGGCCGATAACATTACGAAACGAACAATAAGGACAACCAGACATCATCCCAACTCACGGTATACACGTATACACTATGCTGTTATTACGATCCATTCATGTTAAACACACAAACAGCATAATGTTCCAATATGGTGTCATACCCGCAACCAATATTTCCATTAAATTGAGTCTGCGCTATAATGGTAATGTGCCGTACGCAACGATGCCCATATTCATGCGAATCTGTGCGATGTCGTGAACATTCGTGCAGTAAACAATTTGTGGTGAAACAACAATAGTACTGGATTCATCAGACAATCCACGTAGCGGGGAATACGGCCACGATTGCCAACACAAAATATAATATTACAACAAAACCATTCACAAAATAGCTGCGCGAATAATAATGACAACATCTGTGTTGGCTCGCAGGATTCGCACCAAATACGAAATCATATGGGCAATGCCAATTCCATAACCTCAGGTTGGCCTCTGGCAATGCAACTTGGCATTTCGCGTCCGTTTTCGGACCCGCAGTCTGAATCGCATTCGCAATTGAATCGCGCGCTCATCCTGGTTATCATGCGCATGTGGTTCCGCTTTGTGGCAGCACTTCCTGGTGTTTTTTTGGGCGCGCGGGACATCGCGCTGCTCTGCCAGCGCGATAGATCTGGACGTGGAATGCACGAGCGGACCATGCTGCCACCATGCGGAGATCCTAGCTTCAGCCTTGCGTCCTCTCGGCTTTCGCTTTCTCGCTAACTAACTTCGCCCGGTGCGGCCTCGTCGTCTTTCGTGACTAACTTGTCGGGCCCGAAGTTCGTCGTCTTCTGAGTTTCGCTTCCACGCGTCGCGAGGACAGTGCCATCGTGTGACCGCGCAAGACACCACCGCAACCGGAAGTTATGGATGTTTTTTGAAAATGATTGTTTGTTGGTTGTTCTGTTGTCGCGGTTACTGTTGGCACGTGCTTCGATTTCACATGTATCGCGTTCTCGTGGGGTTGCTTCATTGCCACTTGCAGAGCGTCTCCCGCAGACCTTCCCATCGACGTGCTGGCGCGAGACCGAGTGGCGTGCCTGCGCGGCGCGGCCTCTTTAACACGACGCGCGCGCGCGCAGTTCAGAGGAGTTTACATTCGTAGCCGCCTGATTGTTGCGGCACCGCGCCATATTTGTTTGCGCGGCGCGTAACGCTCTTTTCGGATGCCATTTGCGCGTGTGTTGCATGGGCGGATCGCCTTGGCGCAGCGATGCTTCGCGCGGCGTGGTTCGGCCGCTTTTGCGCGATGATGCGCCCGTGTGCGCGTGTGTTGTCAGAGCGGCTCTGCGTGACGGCGTGTCCAGTAGCGATTACCATGCCGTTAAGTTTGTTCCTCGTGGGCACGCGGGCCCCCCGCCCCTTTTCCCTTCTTCGCGGCACGCCAA